TAATAATAATAATAATAATGATAATGATAATAGCGCATACTCCCGCTCAAAAAGCAAGGTCTATGCGCTTTACACGATATTATTACCTCAGCAGACCATGTAACACTCCGAAACATTCAAGATTACCGAGAAACATACAGTGCAGGCAACTGATTAAGAGCTCAAACACTGACAAATCTTTCACTTCTGTAGCTGGGTACTCATTCCCACCTGGGTAAAGCGAGGAACATTCGTGTAAAGTGCCTTTCCCAAGGACACAACGCCTGGCCCCTGACGGAATTCGAACCCACGACCTTATGGTTGCGATTCCGAGAGTCCAACCTTTTTGCCACCGACATTTAACTAAAAAGAATGTAAAATACGGTAGATTAGCCTGTTTGCCGTAGGTTTGCAGGTGCTCTGGTGTGGTTTTTTCCAGCTTTCCTACCAAACATCTAGCCTCCTTACCTTTCCTTTTCCTGCTTGCGTTTGTTATTCTCTTGTAACACCTCTAATCTTCAACGCTTTTATGACCCTATTGGGTTGTAAATGCTGTAAAATTCTTTCTTATACCAGGTGCCCATTGTGGATCGGATCGGGTCGGGTCGGGTCGATCGCCAACTCGTCGCCTGAAAACAAACCCGAATGTTTTTGAGGCGACAAGTCGGGCGCGATTGGCTTGTGCCACGATAGCTTCTTCGTGTCCTCTATCTGGCTAGCAAACCACCCCGACCTGACACGATCCCCCCATGGGCAACACGTATTACTGAAACTACAACTAAAAGGTCAGCTTGTTTTATTACCAGTGAGATGACGGTAATTTTTAGCACTGCGGATTGATAGTACATTTTATTTGTACTTAATAGACATGAGGCATTATAGTTCTTATATATTAATGGTTCGGCTATTGGACTCGTAATCGTGAGGTTGCGGGTTCGGGGGTTCGATCCACGAGCCTGACGTTGTGTCCTTGGGAAAGACACTTTACACGAATTTTCCTCACTTCACCCAGGTGGGAATGGGTACCGGGCCATAGACAGCGAAAGATCTTGTCAATAAGATGTTAGTGTTTTAGCGCACTTAAACGGACAGGAAGTTGAATTTGTTTCAGAATGCTGTTAGGTCTACTGGGGTAAGAGTATAGATTGTAAAGCGCATAGAGCTTGCTGTTGAGCGGGGGCTTGCGTTATACAAATGCTATCTATTATTATTAGTATTAAAGTCATGTAGCTGCCGCGCAAGTCAAACGTTTTTTTAAAACCATTTTTTTAAGAGTCGCACGCACACACACACACACACACACACACACACACACACACACAGATACACACGCACAGACAGACAGACAGACACACACACACACACACACACACACACACACAGATACA